TACTTGTAATTCTAAATAGTAAATTCTTATTAACTTTCTCTAAGTTTTTCTGAAATGCTCCTCAAAACCCTTCCGTGATTTTTTCTGAATATTTTTGTTTATATCGTGAAAAAGAGCAAGCAGAAGTTAGGTGTCCGTTGCTGCAGGTTTACTTTTTATACGCATTTTTATAGGTGACTTACGTTCCTTTAAAAACGGAGATATTTAAAGCCGAGCGGTGGTCATATATATAAAAAAAGATGTTTAGGATCATGTCCCCAAGAACGTATTTCGAGGTCATCTAACTCGGTGAGGAATCGCTGATGCAAGTAATTACCATAAATACATAAAATATAATTTTTGTTCTCAAACAACATTGAATCGCCGTAACACGCATATCAGTACGTTAACTGTTTGAGTCCCAAGCGGCGCGATCGCACTTCTCCCATACACTGTCTAAAAGTGCCAACCTATCGGTTAGTAGAATTAGATTAAACTTATTTATTTGTTTTCCTTCTACTTATTTATTTTTATTTTTGTTATTACCCGCTTACAAATGGAAAAATGGAACGATCGCACTATTTAAAATGTTTTTATATAAAAATAGAAAAGCGTAATTCAGGAACAACGTGTGCGTTTCCAGGTTACGAACCCGAACATCATCAAATTTCAAGCGGTTTGGCATACTATGATGCATCAACGGACACACAGATAGTTACAGAATTATCTACTGCAACCCTAACACTAGACCATTGTCAGAAAAAGAGAAACTTTGAGTTATCCAGAACAACGACAACGGTTATGTCGCTCAACATTTTGGAGAAAACAAGGCCATTGAAAGGATACACCAAATAACCAGATCGTCTAATCTAGACACGTTGTCAAAGAGTACATCAAGAAGTGCGATACCTGTCAACCGTTCAAGTTAACCTATATCCAAAACCGGAAACAGGCTGACACTCCTTCCGAGTTGAGCAAGAAAATCGCAATCGATCTCGTTGGGCCACTAACAACTATCTGCCAAGGCAATCAATACATTCTCTCCATCCAGGACTGCTTGATTAAAATACCTCGTTCTTTTGCTGCTAAAAGGAATGCAATTTACCAACATCATACGGCAACTCTTGAAGCACTGGACATACCTATTTGGATCACCCAAACGCTCCTGGCGGACCAGGGCTTGAACCTGATATTCTGGCTCACCCAAGACTTTGAAAGCTATCGGTGTAAAACACGTCGAGGAGAAAACTAACGATTAGGACCAAGTACCCGAGAAGGTATATTTTGGGTACAACACCTCGTACCACCAAGTAATAGGTATGCTACCGTTCGAAGTCACCTTCAGCAGAGAAGCCATACTACTGCAGACAATCAGTCTTATGCCGGTCACAATGAAAGGGCGCCTGATGAGGAATTGGAGGAAACGGCATGAACGATACGTCAATTAGCAAGTAACCGATTAGAGGAGTAGAAGAGGAAGCACTAGGATGTGCAGGTTAAAATCATCTTGAAACTGCAAACGCCATTCCGCGTCAGGGATAAAGTGCAAATCCACAATGGTCATAGTTGATCAAAACTAGACGTGCAATGGCTCGAACCAGCCATCTTGCTAGAAATCAAGTCGCCCAATTGTAGTCTTTTCGACGGAAAAGAACAAGTCGTACACGGCAACAGAATCAAACCGTACCTTGGTTAATTCTATCAGGATGTTTCCTCTGTTCACGCTGCTGTTCAATACGCTCACCTATGCTGTCCACATACCTGTGTCAAAACTAATGTTGAAGAATGTCAGATGCTATCCGATAACACATCTCCGCTATTCGACCGACAATCACCGTTTTACCTCCCTTGCTTATTAAAACAAGTTAGAGACTAAATATGATCTAAGGAGAGAGTTGTGATACCAGTTATTTGTAGTGAATCAGAGTCAGCGACAAATCCATGATCCTTGTCGATCTTCGTCATCCTTAGCGAACCCTGTTCCACTCCGTCATCCCTGATGAGCATCAACCTACACCAACCCCATTGCATCCTACCCTGTTTTGTTCACCTCGAATTCACTGCCAAATGAAGATGTTAGGGAAAATAAATAGGTTCAATTTCGTTGAGCATGGAAAACAGTTGTATTCTCTTTTTCGCGACGTGTGAGTGTGTGAAAAAGTGAAGGACGGAATGTATGTTGAAGAGTAAAGGGGATGGTAAACGAACGAATATCTGATCATCATCAAGTGTCCGATATCTATCAAGACTTTTAATATTTTTCAGTTTTAATGAATAATTCAAGGCTTAACATTTATTAATACTTCAAAACCGTTATGGAATCGAATTATATTCGAAGTGCTTCGAATATTCATAGTTTTGAAACGCGTCGAATCACTTCGAATATCGGGATTCGATTGTCCATCACTAAGGAAGGCTCTGTTCCTTCTGCTGCACTTCTATCCTGTGAACAACTATATAGCTCTACTCATACCGATTGTAAGAAATGATACGGAATAGTAAACGACATTTCGAAAGTTGTATTATCAAATACGTATAATTCTTACTAACTTTTACACAGATAGAGTATTTTGCCTCGAGAAGACAATGTCTTCTTCATGCAAATACAATTTCTATAGCACTGAATCACGCAAGTGCGTCATGTTAGGATTACTACAAGACTATTACAAGACTGTTTGTAAGGCCGTTGCAAAACTGTTACGAGTCTGTTTGTAAGAACGTTGCAAGACGGGCTCAAGACTATACTGCAAGGCATCCACGATGCCGTTTTTGAGGAAGATCAATCCCTCGTATTGATCCCCACCCTCGCAAGACCATTAGCTTTCCATGGGAACGTCGACAGGAAAAGAGTTCTTATCGTCAACTGTTTATCCTTCATTGCAACTCCAACATTTGCAGGCCCTTCACAAGCATCGACAGCGTTGACGAAGGACACTGCATCTGGACACTGTCATCGCTCACGCAGATCGGCCGCTCGTATTTTCACCAACCCTCAAGATGTTGTTTATTGCCTGGGATTCTCTCAATTCCTAGCCAATTTTCCGTCGTTTCTTACACAATCTTTATTACCTAAATTAAATTAATTTCCCTGTGTATACGAAACTACTGCGATTAAATGGAATTATTGGAACTTTCGTAGAGGAGAGTAAACACCTATGATATCCGTGGAAGCCAAGTGATCGAAACTACTGATCGAGAGTAATTATTTTGAGTAAATGCAGTTTGACGCCTCTGATATAAAAAATTACGACGAATCCACATTCACATTAGAAGGCCATATTATCAGCTCTTCCTTCAAAATTTTAAAGCAAAATAGGCCAAAAAATATTTTTCCATTAATTACAATATATTTGAATTTGATTGAAATTCCAGGCATTGTGTACAAAAGTGATGAATTAGGCGTTCAATTACCAATATCTAAAAAATCTTTAAATTTCGATTATCTCGGAAAAGAAGCATCGTACGAAAAAAGTTAATTTATCCGTTCTATACTATTCTCCACTCAAATGAAACATTTAAACGGCCGTCTAAGTATCTCCGTTATTTATCGTTGCGTAACAAATTTTTTTCAGAATAAATTTCCTTATTCTGAAGGGCATGTGTAACGACAGAAAAGTCAGTACCTCAGAGTCATTTAAAAAGATTGTGATGTCAAATAAAGATGTTTTGAACATTGATGTTTATTGCAAATTAAATCATATAATTTTTGCTTATATTTTTGTAAAGTTTTAAATAAGCAGTTCAACCACTTTCAATAATATGTTCCTATTATTTCGCTTCTCTAATTTCAAAATTTTTACATTTTTTAACATTATTAAACAATTACTGGTTTACAAATGCATACTCTAGTATATTTATTATGATACACATTATTAAGAGTGACAACCAGAGGCATATAAGAACATCAGAAAATACGTGATTTCTTCTTCAGCATTCCCAGTCGACAGTTTAAAGCGATTACGATGTATTGTACCATACAAAAGTAAATCTGGATGGTTTTCATTCATACAATAAATGATGTGTCAGACTTTAGACAAGTAATGCGTGTACGCAGCGAAAGATTTCCAATTCATCTTGTTTTCTAACTCCATTCATAATTCTACATTCCGAGTATAACTAGAATATTACATTCAATGCTTCAGTTAATATGCAACAGTACATCCTTCAGCCTCAATACAGAAATTTACTTCATGTTAAAATTAAAACGTCTACATTAATGATTGTTGGACATGAACAGCTTAACATTTTTTTATAGAAACAACAAGCTGAATCTATTAATACATTAAAAATTACATGGTTCCAGTTACAAAAATATTTGTCACCTTAAAATTTTATTAAAACAATAATAACAAGAAAATGCTTTTTCTACCATTAAAAGTACCCTTTAACCCCTTAACTGTGAAACTTAGTTATAAAAATCACGCAAGTGGTGCTTAATAAAATCATACAGTGATGGGTGTATACCTCAAACATAGGACAAATGAATAATGGAAAACTAAAGCAAAATGAAGAAGAATTGTTTTATTTGAAAAAATGAATAATTTCCATTGCTGGAAAAATTAGTATTACTTTGGTTTTTAAGATGACATGTATGCTCATCAAACGCAGTGAACCGATTAAAATAGTATAACTTGTCTTGAGAAATTTTTTGCACAACCATATATAACAGAGATAACTGGTGTTTCTTTTTGAGTGCTTCACCAGTACATGGATGATTAGTGGACTCTTTATATTAACCCCTTAAGGCTCAACATCATTGAAGTGGGATTTAATCAGGCTTTATACTGAATCTGAATTAGGCTCAGGTCCGTGTAGAGTACCCTCAGTTTATAAACGTTAATATATTATTCTTAATAATATAATAGTAAATAATACTTTTTAAAATACTTTTTTTTCGACGGTAGATCATAGAGTATGAAGAAGATGAGGCTTTA